CTTTTTTTCACAACTGTGCACAACAACAACAAAACTATTTAAGTAAATTGCATGGCTTTTGGCAATATTTTTATAGATACTTAACTAAAAACAAATATATATCTTTAAGACTAAATGCTTTCTACAAACAAACAACCGTTCGAACAATTACTTTTTGTTAATTTTAATAGCCAAAACAATCGCACAAAGCTATGAGTAATAAAATTTAATATCTGTAAATTTCACTTAAGGGAATATTTTTTTGTGTATATTTTGCAATTCGCCTGAAGGCTCGATGTATTTACGGAAACTGCAAAAACTCTTCAAAGTTGTTAAATGCTTTTTCAACACTCAAACAATAAAGGAAAGTAACAGCGTTTGATGTTTTTTCTGAGATTTATTATTTCTGTTTAAACTTTGATTTATTGTCTGACGTACTTGAAAACATGTTCTTTCACTTTCAATGTCAACTTTGGGCAAAAGACCTTCAACTTCAAAATCTGCGGGATCATCTCGCATCTACACATAAAAAAATATTTCAAAGTTTTTGTCTATTTTTGTCTATTTTTTCCCTTCTTCAGTTGAGAAGAAGAAGGCTGTGATTATGAAACTTATGTGAGGAGTTCAAAGTCAACGGACGTACGTTCACATAATTTGAAAATCGTGCACTTTTGTTTACACCCCCGCAGATAAAAATCAATTAAAAAACCTTTGTACACTTGAAGCACTTAGGAGGTGAACAACGCTAAAGATCGGTCAGATACAAAAAGCAAATCGATTTTTAAGTGCTGCTCACAATTAAACGTTTTGTTAGCTAAACAAATCGGTAACAAATTTATTGAAGAGTTCGTTCAGTCCATGACAGCTGACTGATCGAGGAGACAAGCTTTTGAGTGGGTTTCACAGAAAGATCAAATTTGCTATGTCTGATAATTGCTCACAAAATATATTTGTAGATTATAGATTTGCATTCACATCAAATAATTATATGTAACATATTTGCTATTAATAAAATAAAAATACATATGTAAAAACTATCTGTGAAATAATTTTTTAATATAATAAATAGAATAATATAATAATATACGTTTTTTTATACTTCTTCCACAATTGTGAATGAATACTCGTATATAGATTCAATACATAATTAATTATGGCAAACTTTGGACATGAACAAAAATTTGCCAATCGCTTCCGATATGTACTCATTTAGTAGGTCAAAATGATTGCTTTGACAATGTACTAAGTGATTTATTTTAATGATAATTAATCTATTCATAATTATCTACTCAATCATTGTACTAAGTGATTTATTTTAATGATAATTAATCTATTCATAATTATCTACTCAATCATTATACTAAGTGATTTATTTTAATGATAATTAATCTATTCATAACTATCTACTCAATAATAATATAAAAAAATCAATGTAATTAACTACAATAATTAAACTACAAAAATATATATTTTGAAATAAAATGATGTCGCTATAAATATATAATAATTTTTCTGAATATAATAATAATTTTTCTGAGCATATTTTAAAAAGAACAAAACTACATATAAGTTATACATTACATACAATATTTTATAAATCTAACATCAAAGTCTGCTTTACAGTCCGTGAAAAAGTATTCAGAATTACTATCGCCCTGTTGAGCGCAATAAAACTATACCGGTTTTTTAACTTCAGGATCAGAAAAATTTCACACGGTACCGTTTTGGGTTAGTATAGTACTGGTCGATTAAGTTTGTTGATTTTTTTTAAAACCTGTTGCACAATGATGATTTTCTGCCATTGCAGAGCATTCAAAAGTATAATATCAAAAATAGTTAAAGTAAAAACAATGCATATCAAATCGCATTAAATCTCATAAGGCAATATAGAACAGTACTAGAAACTTATAGAATTATAATTGCTGCGTTGTCTTTTATGCAAATTTTCAAAATCATAAATAACACAGAATACATACTGTCTTGATTTAGGTCGCCTATAAACCTTCAACATGTTTTTTGTTGTTATTTTATTGTAAAATACATATAAAAGAAAAATATATATCTTTTATATATTCTTCCGCAAATATTGAGCGTTAAACCAACACTCTTTAACTTTAATCCCAAAAAAACAATTTCTTGTTTTATTCTCGGAATAGTACATAAAAATAATCAAGTAAGCTACCAAAATTTTAAAGAGTCGATGTGGTATCGAATAATCAAAATATATCCATTTGAAATCTAAAAAAATACCCAGGATGTGTTGAGAGAAAGGATAAATATAAATTGACTTAAAACAGCTGGTTATGCTATAATTACATCAGCTTAAAATGAAACAAATATATACTTATGTACTGAATAAATTTTAACTTTATATAAGACTCATGCATCAAATAGATACTATAGACAAAAATAGCCCGATCACAGTATCATGAAGGTATAGAAGTATAGATATAGATTGTTTTCCTTTATTGTACTGTTCTTTAAAAACTCTGAAAGAAATTAATCTCTCTCAAACTGGGCTGTATTTTATATCTCGATCTGGGGTATAACCACACAGAGATAGCCTTTTCAAAAAATAATAATCAACGAGGTGCAAATTAAATGATATAATCATTTAGCAAATTTGTGTTATTAACTAACAAAAAAGCATAAGTTCGACACCATTAAAAAAAACAAGTGAAAGGACGGAATTTTTAGTAAAAATATTAATGAGGAATAGATATATATGAATAATGAATTAAAAAATTTTAACAAAAATTTGAAGATAAATGAGCTTTTTAAGGTGTAAAGTTGTAAGTTGTAAGCAAGTAAGTTGTAATAAAGTAAGGTATGTTGTAAAAAAGACAACTTAATTTTAAAACAAAAATAAAGTTCTAACTTAATAAAGTCCACGAATCTATTTATTAAGTATAGTTTAGAGTTACTCTTACGTAGATTTCAGTTCAAAACGCTTAAACGAATTGCGTAGATGAAAACTTATGGTATAAACTATTTGGATGTGATATTAAGATATTGAGACTAGTTTGACTTGAGACTTATCTTCTTAACTATGAGATTTAAATATTAAACTCAAATCTCCAATTAATAATATTTGAAAATATGAATTGAAAACTATTTGAATAAAATATGATATAAACTATTTGGATGTGATATTAAAATATTGAGACTAGTTGAACCTGAGACTTATCTTCAGTGACTATCTTGCCATTATGTGTCCAGGTAAAATTTAAAATAAAACTGCTCCTCCCATATAAGTTTTTTGTTTCTTAGTTTAGGGAATAATCTCTACAAGTTAATCCACTTTAAAACGAAACATGCTATTTAAACATATATTAAGATAAAAAATATTCTCTTTTTATAAATTTAAAACTAAATTTTTCTGAAAAATGCCATATTATTCGACTTTCGAAAAAAAAACAGTTTTCATGTATTTGCACAAGAATCAATGCTATTTAATTATTACAGTTATTAATAATATATTTAATAAATCATTTATTATAATTATTTATAATTATTATTGATCAAGTCATTTATTGTTTAATTTATTATTTATATATAATTTATTTATTAATTTATATAATAATTCTTTCTAATATTATGAATTTGTTATTTTTTAAAATAAAAAAATTTTTAATAATTAATAACTCTATTTGATTTATTGTTCAACCCATAAAATAATAAATTTTTTTTAAATAAAACATTACACTTTTTAAATTAAACAGTAACAATAAAAAACATAATTGAATATTGATTGTAAAACCAATTTATTAATAATAAATAACAATTTTCATTTTGTTGTAATATTTTATAAATGTTAGACAAATTTATTATAAATAATGAAACAATTTAATGAAATTAAACCAATATATATCCATATTAAAAGTTTTTAAATTTTATTTTATTAATAATAATCATTGATAGCAAGGGCAGTAAGTCGTTCATATATATCATGAACAATTTAAATATTTATTTTATATTACATATTAATCTATTATTCTCGTTATTATAATAATAATTGCAGCACTTGTTAAATATATTTCAATGGTTTTTCATATTTTTATAACAAAAACTGGTAATTATTATTCGTTACTATTTTTATTTTATTTTTTTATACTTTATTGTAAACATTTTTATTAGTATCAATTTTATTATTTATTTTATGTTAATATCAAAGTTAATTAATTTTTTACTGATTTTTTTATTACTCAGTTATTATATTTTAATAGATTTTTGATGTAATCCAAAATTAAAGTTATTAATTTTTAGTTTATGTTTTTTCAAGCATTTTTAAATTTATATACATTATCGCGAATATTAAATCATTTAAAAATTATTTTTTAAGATCTAAGTATATTTGTATTATATATTTATTATTTACATTTTTGATGAAATTAAAATAAAAATATTAATTTAACTGTGATGTTTCAAATTTTTTTATATATATTTTTATTCGACTTCTAAAATCGTTTATGAAGCATTTTTTATTTAAATTAATTATATTATAATATTTTAGAAGCGATTGTATTTTGCTTTCAGTAAATTATTTTGTCATGGATATGAATACAAAATGATATATATTTATATATGTTACATAGAATATTAGTTGTTTTTGTAACAATTCTTAAATTATCATAATAACTACCTTATTGTTTTTTGATTTACACTAATAACATATTCTATTATATTTTTTATTAACAATAATTCACTTGAAATGTAAATTTTTTAATTATTGCATTGAAACCTTTTTTAATGCAAATAAAGAATTTTTTCTCAATGAGAGATAATTGAGTTTATATGCATTCGTGTATATGCATATATATACTTTTAAAAGAAAGTCGTAGTTATATAATATAACAGTTTCGTTTATATTGAAATTAGCAACCTATATGTCTGATAATTTAATATGCTTAATATTTGATTGTTCTCTATTCCAATTTTAAAGTACATTGTAGTTCACTGATTTGTGAATAAAAGATTACAATATTTAACAATACTATTTTTAATTATTCGATTTATTTTACCTCATAAAATTAATAAACTGTTTAGGTTCCTTTTCCATAGAATGTTGTGTGGTCCAATCACATTTATTTGACTTCAAGATATTTATTATTAAGTTTCATTCATAAATTAGAAGTTTTATTTTACACACAAGAATTTATTTATAATATTAAAAAATATATTTTTTTTCATTTATTTAAGTAATTCAGATTCAGAAAATTGAATTAAATTATTACACATATTTTTGAATTTTTTTACACCACAGAACTGAGTAAATTTTGATCACATTTGATATTTGTATGTATTAATATATTATAAAATTTATTTAATAATAATTTTTATATATTTTTAAACTTTTACTGTCACGAAGTTAAATGCAATATATATCAATAAAAATTCATTACATCAAATTACTATATAAACCATTATTTCTTTTGCGATGTGTACATAAAATATTTAATTAGTTCATTATTTTTATTTAATTTTTTATGTTTAACTTAAACTTTTTATTTTAAGCACTCAAGACACAAATATTTCACTTTCTGTTTTTTTTTAAATTATTTTGTGTAATTTTCATTAGATATTTGTATTTTCATAAAATACTTTTCAAAAATTTAATTCAAATTTAATTATTATTTTTGATTATCTGTATTTTATTTCACTAAAAATTTTTATTTCGTCAAAAAATCGTATCAAAAATAATGAACTTTTTTTTCATTTCAGTTTGTTTATGTTTACACGGAAATGCAGAGGCACAGATGAGATGAAAAAGGCACGTTGGTCTATCGCTACAACCGCACGACTTCGTACACGTCCACGACCGCCGATTGCTCATATTCGAATAAAATTGAACAACAACACGAGTTTGCAATTGCATGCTTATTTCGCCGACTGGAATTCGAAGTCGAATGCTTATTTACTGTTTTCGCTTTGTTTACTTTTTAACATTGCGCTGGAAGCTTTTCAGATTTAACAGCTTGGAAGAGTTGACATTTACATTCGCTTCAATGTTATGTTAGGCATATTTTTTAATATGTCTGTTAACTTGTTTTCGAAGTTCTGGCTAAGTTATGTTTATTATATTATTCGATGCTACATTATTTACGAAAAATTTGTCAATTAATATTATGTGGTAATAAACTATCAAATTTTATTTATTTTACTTATTTATTTTATTTATTTATTTCATTTATTTATTTTGCTTATTTATATTGTTCACATATTTCGCAATTCACTAATACGCAAATCGTTTTATAAAACATCACTATTGATTGCAAGTTTATTATAAATTAAATATATTGATTGCATTTATAAAATTAATTCAATATCTTTCTGTTTAAAGTATATTCCTAAAAAATTTTTATATATGTTTTTTCGATCCTATTGATATCACATTACTTGTTGCGAAAAAAAGTATTAGTATTTAAAAGTTTTGGTAAAACCAAGCAAATACCAAGCCAATCTCAAATGGATACTCAACAATACCCGTACAATGATTTATAAATCAACACTTCTTCGAAATATGTATATAACTATTTGAAACAATCTTATTATATATTTAAACAATTAATGAGAAATCACAAAATTTTCAAGCTGATCAGAACTACCAATGGTTCTTCTGAAACTGAATTAAAAAAAGCTGAGGACATACAAAAACTCATATAAGGAAGTCTTTTTCAAAACTTATTCAAAATTTACATAAAACTATTCAATTAATAAATAAAACCATTATATATAGTATATAAATTGGTTTGGCATATTTTAAAGGGTTTGTGTTCCAATTAAATTATTTATAAAATTAATATATTGAAACTTATAATAGACCAAATGCAGCTAGTTACACTAAAACCATTAATGATTTAGTGTATTAATTAACCATTAATGTGGTATTGCTCTCCACTAAAAGAAAAAATAAAACGACAACAGTTAAAGTGCCTGCGAATCGCACTAAAATAAAGCATAATAAAGAAAAATTTCCTGAAAAGTTTCTATTTAAACTCTGATATATTGAGTTTCGATATTGCAGCAGAAAAGTAGGTATTAATTTTTGTAAGCATATGAAAGACACATCTAATTGACATGACCATGTATATAATATTAATAATTGATAAACAATTTTTATCTTTAAATAGATGTTATACATATGCCAAACTTAGTAAATTTCTACTCAATCAAAATTGAAATCTGCTAAAGAAAATGGACTTGGAATCATATATAAAATCGCAAGAAAATTCAAGAACGGAACCCGCTGGAGTATCAGCCTCCTTAAAAAATAGACTAATTCGTAGTGAGAGTAATGTGCAAAGTAAAACCTGGCAAAGGGTTGCATTTGTCGCCGCAGACAAGAATAATTGGGTTCAGTTTGTTGACGCTATATGTTCTAGATCAAATTAAAAAGCACATTATTGTATTAAATAAATAAAGAATTATTTATACATAAGAAATTTTTGTTTATGTTATTTTTTTCTTGGCTAGCCACATATGGGATTTATATCTGATTTAAATTTAATATAATATATATTAATATAATATATATTATAATATATATTTAATAAAATATATATATAAATAACTAGCTGACCCGGCGAACGTTGTTTCCCCTTGCAATTAATTTTCCTGGCTCAGCTGAGTTATAATATTTGTTGTTATTCAACTTAACCTTTAGCATTTTAATACGAAAATTATTTTGAATTGATTTTTTCTTTTGAACTACAAAAAGTCCACATGCATTACTTATGTTGTGTTATTTGAAAAAATATTACTTATGTTATTTGAAAAAATATTTTCAAATCCTTATAAGCACTACATTTTAAATGAAAAAAGAATATCAATGGATATTGCAAAGCGTCGTAAGAGCGATAACTGTCATCAATCGTATGCACTGTGTTATCTCTGCGTTGTATTCATATATCTTGACGTTCAAATGCGTCGCCAACCATAACAACTGCAACTTCATTAATAGTCGGTGCATTATATCGGCCCGCATGCTGCCCAGATGGTACTTTGTCTGCTTTTATGACGATTGTATAGTTGTCGTTTAGCAGTCGGTTTGAAACGGTATTGAACAACTGGACCAACTGGTTGTGATTTTTTAAAAACGGTTCTAAAATACCCACAATTTCTTGCTCCTCCATCTGCTCGATATGGTTGTACTGGCAACGTGCGTTTCTTTGCTGCTTCTCATTACCCATGAAGTAGATTTGCAGAAATTTGGGATCATTATTGGGCATCGGCATTAAAAAACCAATTTGGTGATACACTTGGCCCTGAATCTTAAGCGTTGATTGAAAATTGCGACCAATCTCATTCTGAACGATTTTTGTTGTTCCAAATGATGTCATTTAAAAGCACGAATTGAATTTGCGAATTTTACGAAAAAACAATTTAGATTGAGATGTAGCTCCAGCCAATAGTGCTTTCAATAGTTTTGGCGACAAATTCAATGGTGGCAATACAACTTTTCCAGATGTGCAGCAGAAACCGGCCGATTCACCTTTGTATTTGAGTGTATGACAGTGTTGGCACTGTTTGTTCATAGCACCGATTACAATTCGTGAATGTGACGAATAGTCGATAACCGACTCATATTCAAACGCAAGGTGATGAAATGATGAACGTGTCAATGCCCGATACACTTGCAAACGCTGTTGTTCACGTGTTCTGAATATGTCGGTGACTGGTGGACGGGCCAGTCTTTGTCTCAATGCATTAGCTCGAAGGTGTTATTTGCGTTGCTCTTGACTTTCATTAACACGTGTGATTGTATCCTGGTTTCTTACATTCTCATTGTTTTCTGCCGATCTATTTAACCGACGGTTCTGGAGTAATTGTGAATTCCGAGTCGCTCGACCAATATTTTCTCCTTGTCCACGAAGACGTGGCATTGTTTTTTGTACGTTATTTATATCTTTACATATATAATTTTTCTTTTTTGTATGTGTTCAAGTAAATTCAAGGATGGTTTAGATTCACAATTTGGTCCATTTATATTAGACATTTAAAAGTTATTCATTCTTACTTTGATTTGTTTAAAAAGTTTAAACTCTAAAATGAATCGTTCAACTATCCTGTGGAATTTTTGAATTCGCTGGATTTACCAGGAATACCACCACATAACTTAAGATTAAAAATTGGCTCACCTATAATTATACTGTGGAATTTAAATGCATTTAAGGTATGCAACGGCAGTTTTACGATTCATTATAGAGATTTTAAACTTTTTAAACAAATCAAAGTAAGCATGAATAAATTTTAAATTTCTAATATAAATGTACATGGAAACCAAAAAATAAAAAATTATATAAAAAGACATTATCCAGTGGGCCAAATTGTGAATCTAAACCTTCCTTCAATCCACTTGAACACACACAAAAAATTTCATCAAAATCGGTTCAGCCGTTTAGGAGGAGTTCACTGTCAACACACGTACAGAAGAAATATATATAT